TTACCAGGCATTGCTTTGAAATTGGTATATATTTTTATTGGTACTTTTGAATGTATTTTAATATGTTTTTAAATATGTTTTACAGTGACAAAGAAAGTACTAGACACAATATGCCACCAGATAGACCAGATGCATCGGGAATAGAAACTGGGGTAGGACTGAATAGCACTCAGGTTTTCAGTTTCGGAGAAACAGTATATACAATGAAAGAAGAAGAGAACGCAAGTGCTTTTGTCGAGACAAATTCGTCTGATGATCTTCACAAAGACATTTCGGTATCCGAAAAGTCTATAGAGAAAAACAGTCAGCTAGACGACGATTTAACCTCCTTGAGTTGGCTGCATCAACAGAATTTACTGAAAGGATTGGACATCTCGAATCCGTCTAAGGACATGAAAAACGAGAATGTATTGAATAACAATGTATGCGATGATGCGGCAGACTTTTCTGAAAACACAAACTCCATTTCAAGTTTAGACGACGGTTATTGTCCAGGTACATATCGTTTGTTGCCTATACGTATTCTCAGTTGACATAACAGCATTAATTAAGTATTGTTTCTTTCTTTTCTCATTTCGACAACAGATAATAGTGGCAAGATAAATAATTCAACGTCGCACAGTCATAGTCAAAACTTTCAACACACGAATAAGAATAGTCAAAAGTCGATGCAAATATTTCAAGAGTCGGTCAAAAGTCATTACAATTCCTCGCAGAATAATCAAACGAAAATTTCATTGAGCAACAATAATCTGCCAGTTTCGAATCGGAACAAACATCCTACTCATATACCATACGATCCTCATTTGCACAGAAACAGTAAACCGCCGTATTCATTTTCCTGTTTAATTTTCATGGCTATCGAAGATAGCCCTGTGAAAGCCCTACCAGTCAAGGAAGTGTATGCTTGGATATTGGATCATTTTCCATATTTTAGGAATGCTCCTACCGGATGGAAAAATTCTGTAAGACATAATCTAAGCTTGAATAAATGTTTTCGTAAAGTGGAGAAAGCGCCGGTAAATATGATGCACATTAATTAATTCCTCTTATTTTTCTCTGATTCCTCTGTTTGTGATACTGTCAACCGAATTCAATTGTTTTCAGAATTTGGGCAAAGGTTCGTTATGGATGGTAGACGCTCAGTATCGACCAAATTTAATACAAGCATTATCTCGTGCTCCATTTCCGCCTCCTACCGCTCAAACTTTGTCTTCCCCAGAGAAACCGCCGAGAAAAAACACAAGCACGCGCCTTCCAGACCCTATACTCTTCCCTTACCTTTCCAAAAGACTGGCATCGAGCAACATTTCCGACAATACAGAAACGGAAGTAGACAGCGATGTAGATGCAGCCGCTGCTGCCATGCTTTCTTTTAAACACGGACCTATTATTTTAAATCATAATAAAGGTGACGTTACCTCACGCTGTCGACCTATCGCCACTGTAGATAATTAGAATTCTCCTAGTTGATTTCACGGTAACGTATCAAATTTAATTACAGATCGCAAACGGAAATTGCCGGAATCCGAGTGGATCCCAGTGATCACCAGGAGCTCCAGTGAGGATCACACGTACAGTTGCATCACCACGATGAAGCGAGAAAGGTGAATACAACGGTATAACAATGCTCATTAACACGTTGAATGCCGCACGATTTCACGGCGGAAAATACACAAAATGGAAAAAATTAAATACTAAATCATTCAATTGAATTGCATTGTTATTGCACGTTCTTCTAGCTAAATGAAATCAAGTAGCATTGTTTGTAATATAGAAATGTTTCTAAATAATCGTTTAATTGAGTGAACCATAGTGATTCAATTCGGGGGTCACCGGTGACCCATGGCATTCAACGTGTTAAGGTTTCAACGACTATTTACATGTCTCGCATATTTCATTATCAACCAGATACCCAAGTGAAGAAACGAATTCCGATTTCGACGAGCAACGGAAGATAGCCGAGGGTGCGGACGCGCTTTTGAATCTGGCAGGCGTGACCACGGCGCTTAACCATACCAGAACACCGCACGCGCAAGGTATTAACCCAACACCAAAGTCGGAAGGTACATCGAAGCCGAAGAAACGTTCGGCACCGAATGATTATTCGAACCCGCCGGAAAAAAGGCGTAAACATTGGCCAAAGTGGAGTGAAGGAAAGCGGTATTTAAAACAAATTATATAAAACTTTTTTCGTTGCGTGTATATTTGCGTGTTATACGCCGTTACATCCGCTCTCGTTATGTTTCGTCTCTGACAAAGGGAAACGAGGAATCTCCCGCGATTCCGGTTTTCGAATAGCGATTATTGAAACGGAGAAAGAATAGACTTAACGTCATCTTCT